ATCTAATAAGTCAAGCCCCTGTTGGAAAAAGACTCTGTTGTATCTCTTCAAGGTATAGCCAAGAATCCTGAAACAAAGAGAAAATGTTTGATAGAGTTGCGCATTCCGTTTGCCAACAATACCTTGACGTAAGGCGCCAAAGTCGAGTGTTTGTTATGCATGCCAGTTACTAAAACAATGTAACTTGCTAACCATGTTTCTACAGTGTATAATGCTTCCCATTTAAACATACATGCTCTAGCAATGTGAAATATATTATTAGAATAACGATGGAAGTGTTTGTAGAGAATAATCATATCATTTAACCTACCTGATGTGTTTGTTTCCTTGTTGAAGTGCTGGTCTGCATTACACTTAGTGCAAATTAGTCTACGAGTCATCGAGGAACATTTATTGGTTGACGGGAATAACCAAAGTGATTAATTTTCCAGGGGGTGAATTACTTCATGAATGTGTATTGTGTGACTTAAAGTAGTTGTTATGGCAAAAGGTATTGAAGTGTGTGTTTATGTAAAACTGTTGTTTATGATATATGTCCATGGGAAATTACGCATTTATGGTAGAAATGTGTTTTGGGGTTATCATGATGGAACATTTCTAGCGGAAGGGAGTTCCTGGAAAGAGTTCTTAGGTGCTCAGTTGGTCTTTGCCTGGGGGAAAGAAGGCTGGGCAGGTAACAGGTTGGCTAGAGTAGAGTTATACCTGTGTTTGGTTATAGGCAAAGAGCTGTTGCCGGAATAGTTTATACTAAAGAACATTTTTGATTTATTCAAGTCTTTATCAACGTCCTGTTTGTTATCTTCTGTACAAAGTTTATTGGCCGATTCATCCTGCACCTGTTAATAAAAGCCTCTAAGAGAGGTGTGCACCAGAACATCCTGTCTGTCTCCTGACTGTCCGATCCGCCGCCTCGGTTTTCTGCTTCAAAGGGTGACTGGATTATAGAGATGATAGGTTGACTAGAGGCTAGATTATAGAGATGATAGGGGTGACTAGAGATTATAGAGATGATAGGGGTGACTAGAGGCTTGACTATAGAGATGATAGGAGTGACTAGAGATTATAGAGATGATAGGGGTGAATAGAGATTATAGAGATGATAGGGGTGACTAGAGGCTTGACTATAGAGATGATAGGAGTGACTAGAGATGATAGAGATAATAGGGGTGACTAGAGACTAGATTATAGAGATGATAGGGGTGACTAGAGGCTAGATTATAGAGATGATATGGGTGACTAGAGACTAGATTATAGAGATGATAGGGGTGACTAGAGACTAGATTATAGAGATGATAGGGGTGACTAGAGATTTTAGAGATGATAGGGGTGACTAGAAACTAGATTATAGAGATGATAGGGGTGACTAGAGGCTAGAGATGATAGGGGTGACTAGAGACTAGAGATGATAGGGGTGACTAGAGGCTAGAGATGATAGGGGTGACTAGAGACTAGAGATGATAGGGGTAACTATAGATTATAGAGATGATAGGGGTGACTAGAGATTATAGAGATGATAGGGGTGACTAGAGATTATAGAGATGATAGGGGTGACTAGAGACTAGATTATAGAGACGATAGGGGTGACTAGAGGCTAGATTATAGAGACGATAGGGGTGACTAGAGACTAGATTATAGAGACGATAGGGGTGACTAGAGGCTAGATTATAGAGACGATAGGGGTGACTAGAGGCTAGATTATAGAGACGATAGGGGTGACTAGAGACTAGATTATAGAGACGATAGGGGTGACTAGAGACTAGATTATAGAGACGATAGGGGTGACTAGAGACTTGATTTCTGCACCTGGGTTCACCTGAGTTTTGATATTGGATCAGACCTGGTCATATATCTGCAGCCCAGGGGCCATATGTATCAAACATATCAATTTAGGATCAGGACCTCCCTGTGCATGTAATTTTAATCAATGTGATCGAAAAGGCAAAACTGATCCTAGGTCAGTACTCCTACTCTGAGATGCTTTTTGCAAATGGGCCCTGATCTGACCAGTGACACTTTACAACTGCAATTAGATTATTACAACTGGTGATGCAGCAAGCTTCCTAATGAGGTCATCCTTCTTCAGTTCGGTTGAAGCCAGTTGTCTGTGAAAGCTTGGCTGGGTTTTATGTAACTGTTGACTAGCTGCTGGGGGAGGACAGTTTGTTGGGTTAGCGTACTCCCAGAGAGGGAACATGGTGATCTCAGACATTATCCAACAGGAGATTCAACTCACGCTTTAGGGATTACAGCAGGGAAGAGTTTCTCCAAGTCTGATATAACAAAGACGTGATGCCCATAACTTACATCTGAAGTGTTTCTAGCTTTGGTGGTGAATTTATTGAATGGCAAGGAGCTGGCTGTCAGTGTTACGGAATGACAAGGAGCTGGCTCTTAGTGTTATGGAATGACAAGGAGCTGGCTCTCATTGTTAAGGAATGCAGTGATGCTCAATTGAGTAATGAGGGCAAACAGAGTAACACTTAAAAGGGGCAATCTGCAGTGTAAACAACAGCAAAGCCTTCACCCCGCCACTGTTTTGGTAAACCATACATTTGATAGGATACTACAATATGATAGCATATATGTTATTGAAATGACAACATATAAAACTTGGTACTGTATTAGTTTAAATAATGATATGTCAACTAAATATGACCAAAAACTATAATATGCTTCCCATTTTGAAAACTCCTTTGGTGAATAAAAAATATATATAAAAAAATAAACAATGGTATCTGACAGCAAAATTAGATAACAGTATAAGCCTAACTATTGACTCGGCAGTTGAGATCACAGTCCAGTCAGCGTAGCTATAGCAGCAGCTTCATGTCTAGCCCCTATCACACTGATTGATTCAGCAGCTGCCAAGTCGCCATTACTCATAGCTTAAATTACGTCGCTAACAATTACCATTACATTTGTTTTTGCAGGAAAAGTGTCAAAATATTGTGATGAATCTGGTAATTGGGTCCAAAGTCCCTCCATTAATAGGACCTGGTCCAAATGTCTGACATTCTCCAAGGACAAATTAAAGGTAATTGGAGATTGATTCGTTCTCAGTTGATTAAATGGACAAAATAGTACGGGTCTGTCTGGAACTGGGAATGCGTTCCAAATGGCACCCTATTCCCTATAAAGTGCACTATTTTGGACCAGAGCCCTATGGAACCTGGTCCAAAGTAGAGCACTATTTAGTGAATAGGTTGCCATTTGGAACATAACCTGGGTGTGCAGGCAGGACTGTTCTTAGTCCTTATTCTGTTTGTGTTGTCTGTTGTGTTTCCTGGTTATTATTCATTTGATAGTTTAACGCCATAATTAGAGCCAGGAGTTTTTCCTTGTCTAGTCTATGGATCAGGAATAACTCTGGGCCTGCCTACCTATTCTGTATGTTGTCTGTCTGTAGTGTTTTCTGATTGCTTTTAACTTTACTTTTCTTCTATTATTTATCTATCTGTGTTTATATAGTCACTGATACTGTTCCCTGTTGACAAATAGAGCATGAGGATTTCTATCTGTGTGTGTTTCTTTATGGGGTCTGTCCAGTAACATGTTGTTCTTCCCCAGAAGGTGACTCTCCATGGTCTGTTAGAGCCAGGGTCTGTGGAGCCCACTGTGGAGACCCCAGTCAGCCTGAAGGTGACTCCCCATGGTCTGCTAGAGCCAGGGTCTGTGGAGCCCACTGTGGAGACTCCAGTCAGCCTGAAGGTGACTCCCCATGGTCTGCTAGAGCCAGGGTCTGTGGAGCCCACTGTGGAGACTCCAGTCAGCCTGAAGGTGACTCCCCATGGTCTGCTAGAGCCAGGGTCTGTGGAGCCCACTGTGGAGACTCCAGTCAGCCTGAAGATGACTCCCCATGGTCTGCTAGAGCCTAGGTATGTGGAGCCCACTGTGGAGACTCCAGTCAGCCCCAGGGTCAGTCAGGAGGAGGAGGAGAGGAAGAAGATCATCGACGGTCAATACAAATGCTTTGAGAAGATGAACAGAGACCAGCCTTATAACAAATCAGGTAGTGATGATGTGCACTACTTTAATACTCAGTGTGTGGGATTATTTCAGATTATACATTTGGTGGTTTGAGCCCTGAATGCTGATTGGCTGAAAGCCATGGTATATCAGACCGTATACGACGGGTATGACAAAACATTTAGTTTTACTGCTCTAATTACGTTGGTAACCAGTTTATAATAGCAATAAGGCTCCTCTGGGGTTTGTGACACAGTGCATTCGGAAAGTATTAATATCCCTTGACTCTTTCCACATTGTTACGTTACAGCCTTATTCTAAAATGGATTAAATAAATAAACATTCTCATCAATCTACACACAATAGCCCATAATGACAAAGCGAAAAACAGGTTAAGAATTTATGTAAATGTATTAAAAATGAAAAACAGAAATATCTTATTTATGTAAGTATTCAGACCCTTTTCTATGAGACTCGAAATTGAGCTCAGGTGCATCCTGCTTCCATTGATCATGGCTAAAATGACTTTAAAAAATCATCCTTGAGATGTTTCTACAACTTGATTGGAGTCCACCTGTGGTAAATTAAATTGATTGGACACGATTTGGAAAGGCAAACACCTGTCTATATAAGGTCCCACAGTTGACAGTGCATGTCAGAGCAAAAGCCATGAGGTCGAAGGAATTGTCCGTAGCGCTCCGAGACAGGATTGTGTCGAGGCACAGATCTGGGGAAGGGTACTAAAACATTTCTGCAGCATTGAAGGTCCCCAAGAACACAGTGGCCTCCATCAAGACTCTTCTAGAGCTGGCCGCCCAGCCAAACTGAGCAATCAGGGGAGAAGGGCCTTGGTCAGGGAGGTGACCAAGAACCCGATGGTCACTCTGACAGAGCTCCAGAGTTCCTCTGTGGAGATGGGAGAACCTTCCAGAAGGACAACCATCTCTGCAGCACTCCACCAATCAGGCCTTTATGGTAGAGTGGCCAGACGGAACCCAATTGGAGTTTGGCAAAAAGGCACCTAAAGGACTCTCAGACCATGAAAAACAAGATTCTCTGGTCTGATGAAACCAAGATTGAACTCTTTGGCCTGAATGCCAAGCGTCACGTCTGCAGGAAACCAGGCACTATCCCTATGGTGAAGCATGGTGGTGGCAGCATCATGCTATGTGGATGTTTTTCAGCAGCATGGACTGGGAGACTAGTCAGGATCGAGGGAAAGATGAACGGAGCAAAGTACAAAGAGATCCTTGATGAAAACCTGCTCCAGAGCACTCAGGACCTCTGGGATGAAGGTTCACCTTCCAACAGGACAACGATCCTAAGCACACAGCCAAGAGAACGCAGGAGTGGCTTCGGGACAAGTCTCTGAATGTCCTTGAGTGGCCAGAGCCCGTACTTGAACCCGATCGAACATCTCTGGAGAGACCTGAAAATAGCTGTGCAGCGACGCTCCCCATCCAACCTGACAGAGCTTGAGAGGATCTACACAGAAGAATGGGAGAAACTCCCCAAATACAGGTGTGCCAAGCTTGTAGCGTCATACCCAAGAAGACTCAAGGCTGTAATCGCTGCCAAAGGTGCTTCAACAAAATACTGAGTAAAGAGTCTGAATACTTATGTAAATGTGATAGTTTTATTTGTAATACATTTGCAAAAATGTCTATAAACCTGTTTTTGCTTTGACATTATGGGGTATTGTGTGTAGATTGATGAAGGAAAAAAACTATTTAATCAATTTTAGAATAAGGCTGTAACGTAACAAAATGTGGAAAAAGTTGAGGGGTCTGAATACTTTCCGAATCCACTGTATATGGCCAATATACCATGGCTAAGGGCTGTGTCCAGGCACTCTGTGTTGCGTCGTGCATAAGAACAGCCCTAAGCCATGGTATATTGGCCATATACCACACCTCCTCGGGCCTTATTGCTTAAATAGAAATGGAATATAATAGAATACTTCCACAGTCACTTCAAGGTTACAGCACACGATCAGAAGAACCCATAAGACAGGTACGATCACAAGTCACAGAGACAAACAATTACAGAATTCTGATAAACATACTATGCTAGTAGACAGACGACGACAGGCGTGTGGCCAAATGGTTAATGTACAGTTGTTTTCACCCAGCGACGTAGTGTATTTACAGTGAGTCTTCATTAGTGTGTTGTGTCTGGTTGTGTGTTGTTGGCGGCACAGGGCTGTACTGTAACCGGACCTGGGATGGCTGGCTGTGCTGGGATGATACACCTGCTGGGACAGTCACCTGGCAGAACTGCCCAAACTATTTCCGTGACTTCGACTCCACAGGTAAGGTCTGGCTATAGGAGGTGTTTGTTAAACTGCAAGCAAGAATGAATAAAGTCAATGTCCTGGTCGGTCTGATTCTCCAATGCTGACTTGTTAACTGCTCGTGATAAATGCGTCGCTGTGGAACATGGCTTGAATTTGAAATATTCATAGCATTTAATTCATTATTCATGGTGTCAAATGGTTGCAAAGCTTATGGACATGTACAGTTTAAGTGTTTCTGTTTAAGTGGCTAAGTGTTAAAACAATTCAAAGTGTTTATAATTAATCCTACTTGATTGTTTCATCAGAAAAAGCTACAAAGACCTGTGGCGAATCAGGACAGTGGTTCCGCCACCCAGATTCCAATAGGACGTGGTCCAACTACACGCTATGTAACTTCCACACTACAGGCAAGCTGAAGGTAAGGGTTGTCACCGAGTGATCCATCAATCCCATACATGTGCTACTTATAGCATACACTTGATCCCATTTTACAATCACAATAAGGGACATTTTCTCAAGGGGATAATACAGTTATTTTCAATACAGAGGAGACCAAGGGGGGAACAATTGGTCAAATTGAGCTAGATATGGTAAATATGGTACAGTAAGATGTACCTAAGCTTACACTCGATTACATTTCACAATCATGATTTATGGAGGAGGTCATAGAGGGAACAGGTTTCTGACCCTAGCCATTGGACACAGACAGATACATGTGTTCCTCTGTACTGTAAAAGCAATAGTAACGCGATGGAAAGAAAAGAAAAGTGATCTTTGCCAAACGCCGGTTTCTTAAAAAATTGCTTTGTGAGGACACAAAGAATGCTATGACTATCCATTATTCAAGCGTGGCTCAGTCACACCTTGATTAGAGGACGGATTAAAACCATCTGTGCTGCAGACATTAAGGCCATGTCCTAGTCTCACCTCTTTCATATTTTGTTTACATCAAGGTAGCGAATGGAAGTTAACGGTTCATGAATGTTCTTGATGCAGTATGGTCATATTTGTTTTCATCTAAAAGGTGTATCTGTATTTCCCAGATGGCCTATATCCTGTACTACATGGCGATTGTGGGTCATGCCTTATCCATAGCCTCCCTCCTGATCTCTCTGGCTATATTCTTCTACTTCAGGTAAATATAGACTGTTTCATAAAGAAAGCAAGCAACAGAAGCAAACTACTGGTTTGATTCGAGAGAGTAGTCTGTCTTGGGACTCTTAACACTTCCCCCCCCACTTGAAAACATGATGAAGATGACGTGATGGTGATGATGATGATGACGCACCTAATCCTGAGGAGAATTAGGATGATGATAGTGGTGATAAATATGATGAAAACCATGATAATAACAATGGCGGTGATGACTGTGGTTGATACAGTTCAGATGGCATAATATATTTATCCTTGGCTGTGTGTTTCCTCTGAGATAACATTGGCAGTGCAGACCTGTGAAAATGTAATCTTCACATTAAGCCTAAATGCATTTTCCACACATTTATGGATAACTTTAACAGATTGTGTTTGTCATTTCCACACAACACTCTGGTTTCCAATTTGTCATTGTCTGTGATTTGTGTTGGGTAGCATTTGAAGGGAAGACATTTTGATTGGATAATATCGTTTTTTTTCCCCTTGTCGGGATTTCCTAATATATTGTAAATGGATAGATCAAATATTTTTTCAGTAGTGATGGAAAATGTAAAAATAACTAACATTTCAGAGTGACTCTTTTATAACAATTCAATTATTGTCATTTATAATGAGTGTTCTGCCTTAGAATATTTGATATTATGATTATCATACAATATTTCAAGTTTTAACATTTTTAGAAGCTGAACGTCAGCAAAAAAGCTTGGTTTGTTAGCTGCATTGGATTATGGACCTTGACCTCCACACTGCCCTAGTGAAACTCACATTTAGGAGGAGCAGTAAGTGTTACTGAATGTTTTACTCATTCTAATACTCATGTCCTTTTCATTTCATGCTGTCTTATTTCTGTGTAACTACTTTAAAAGCAGATTAATTTCCTGTACATTTAAGAGTTCATGACCAAAGAACCATGAATTCAGGACAGTTTAAAGGATGAGTTGGTTGTGTGTTTATTTAAGTGCAGGGCAAGCTTAATGGTAATCCCAACTGATTTCTCTTACTAAATATAGGTTGAAAGTATGCACTTAAGGAGGAACTGCATATTAAGGAAAACTGCAGGTGAATTTCAATGGAGTAGGGGTCAGTAAATGTGGTTAAATCAAAGCTAATGAGAGAGTTATGATGACTGAAAAGTTCAGAAATCACCTCAGTGTCACGGTTCTCTAAGACCGAACCCAGAAGCAGACCAGGACAAGGTGAGTTGAACGAATGTGAGTGTTTATTTACAGATAAAAAGATGCAGAATAGTCCAGGAGACGGAGCGGGTGGCGGAGATGAGTAGGTGGTGGTGAAGTGGCAGATGAACTGATGGCACGGCAGGGGTTGGGTGAAGGTTCCGGGAGAATGACTGTAGACAGAAAAAACAGAGGTAAGTACAAGGCAGGTCAACAAGGTGCAAAAAACAACAAAACTAACGCTAGTACTCAGAGGCTGATACGCTGGCAGAACATACTGTTTATGGCTAACGATCCGGCAGGGAATGGATGTCAGGTCAGAGCTTATGAAGGGGTGATGATCAGGACCAGGTGTGCCGAAGCTGATGAGAAGCAGGTGCGGGTAATCGAGAGATCACCCGCCTAGCAACGTCGCCCGGCAACCGGACAGGGTGCGTTCAGGCACCTTCGGGAAACAGGAGATTCAGAGCAGAAAAACGGCAACACAGGCAGGAACAGACTCAGGACGCAGGGTTCATGACAGTACCCCCCCTTGCGACGAACGCCACCGGGCGGACTACCCGGAGCGCCAGGATGGAGGCGGTAGAAGTCACGAAGGAGGTCAGCATCAAGGATCTGACGCCGAGGAATCCAACTCCTCTCCTCAGGACCATACCCCTCCCAGTCCACGAGATACTGGAAACCCCGGCCCCGCCGTCTGGAATCCATGATGCGGCGCACCGTGTAGACAGGGCCTCCTCCGATCATCCGAGGAGGAGGAGGTGGAGGGGGCAACAGAGGGCTGAGGAGAACAGGCTTGAGGCAGGAGACATGGAAGGTGGGATGGACTCTGAGCGTACTAGGCAACTTGAGTCGAACCACAACAGGATTAATCACTCTCTCCACCACAAACGGACCAATGAACCTCGGCGACAGTTTCCTTGACTCAGTCCGCAGAGGAAGGTCCCGTGTAGCCAACCAGACCCTATCTCCGACTGCATAAGCGGGGGCTGGAATACGGCGACGATTCGCCTGGAGCTGATACCGGTCAGAAACTCTAAGGAGGGCCTTTCTGGCCCGATGCCAGGTCCGGTGGCAACGACGAATGTGGGCCTGGACAGAGGGAACCGAGAGATCTTTCTCCTGAGAAGGAAACAAGGGGGGTTGGTAGCCGTATAGGCACTGGAAGGGAGACATCCCAGTGGCAGAAGTAGGGAGAGTATTGTGAGCATACTCAACCCAAGGCAACTGAGAGGCCCAAGAGGTGGGGTTGGAGGAAACAAGGCAGCGCAGCGTGGATTCCATCTTCTGGTTGGCTCTCTCCGCCTGTCCATTAGATTGGGGGTGAAATCCAGATGTGAGACTGACTGTAGCTCCAATGGCCAAACAGAAGGATTTCCAGACAGCAGAGGTGAACTGAGGGCCACGGTCGGAAACTATGTCACTGGGCAATCCGTGGACCCTGAAAACCTCCCTAACCAGGATCTTGGACGTCTCAGAGGCAGAGGGAAGCTTGGAGATGGGCACAAAGTGGGCGAACTTGTTGAATCGGTCCACAATAGTCAGAATGACCGTGTTCCCCTCAGAAGAGGGCAACCCAGTGACAAAGTCCAGGGCCAGATGCAACCATGGTCGCCGGGGGATCGGTAGGGGGTGAAGAAGTCCAGAGCTGGGCCGATTGGCACTCTTGTTCTGCGCACAAACTGGACAGGCAGCAACAAACCTCCGAGTATCTTCTCCCATGGCAGGCCACCAAAATCGTCTGCGTAGAAGCGCCATCGTCCGAGCCACGCCAGGGTGACAAGCCATCTTGCTGGCGTGGGACCATTGGAGGACAGCCGAACGAACCGACTCAGGCACAAACAACCAACCAGGTGGACCGTTACCGGTGCCGGGCTGCGTCCGAAGGGCTGCCATAACCTCCTCCTCAATCCTCCACATAACGGCTCCCACGACAAAGTTCCGGGGAAGAATCGTCTCAGTCTTGGCCCCACTCTCCTCCGTCTTGGAGAACATCCGGGACAAGGCGTCCGCCTTGCCGTTCTTAGACCCCGGTCGGAACGTCAAGGAAAAATTAAAGCGTCCAAAAAACAACGACCACCTGGCCTGACGAGAGTTGAGACGTTTAGCCGATTGCACGTAAGCAAGATAATTGTGGTCAGTCCAGACAACAAACGGTTGCTCCGCCCCATCCAACCAGTGGCGCCACTCCTCCAAGGCAAGTTTCACCGCAAGGAGCTCCCGGTTACCCACATCGTAGTTCCTCTCCGTAGACGAAAGACGACGAGAGTAGTAGGCGCAGGGATGGAGTTTACCGTCAGAGGAGCATCGCTGGGACAGGATGGCGCCAACCCCCACATCAGACGCATCCACTTCAACAACAAACTGACGAGCAGTGTCAGGTTGAGAGAGAATCAGAGCGTTGGTGAATCGCCTCTTCAAATCCAGAAATGCTCGGTCCGCCTCAGGATTCCAACTGAAGGTTCTGATACTAGAAGTCAGGGCAGTTAAAGGAGCGGCCACATGGCTGTAATCACGGATAAATCTACGATAGAAGTTTGCAAACCCCAGAAACCTCTGGAGCTGCAATCTCGTACCGGGCTGGGCCCAATCCAGAACTGCCCTAACCTTCTCTTGGTCCATCCTAATCTCTCCCCTGGAGATGATGTACCCGAGGAAGGATGTAGTGTGGGCGTGAAATTCACACTTCTCGGCCTTCACAAACAGGCAATTCTCCAACAATCGCTGCAGAACCTGCTTGACATGCTGGACGTGGCTGGAAAGCTCCTTAGAGAAGATTAGAATGTCATCCAGGTAAACGAACACAAAAAGACCGATCATATCTCTCAGGACGTCATTCACCATACTCTGGAACACTGCTGGGGCATTGGTCAGTCCAAACGGCATCACCTGATACTCGAAATGACCCATCGGTGTATTGAAACCAGTCAACCACTCGTCCCCCTCTCTGATCCGGACCAGATGATACGCATTGCGTAGGTCCAGCTTGGTGAACACAGTAGCACCCTGTAAGGAGTCGAAAGCAGAGCTCATCAAGGGCAGGGGATACTTGTTCTTGACCGTGATATCATTCAACCCCCGATAATCAATACAAGGTCGAAGAGAGCCATCCTTTTTACTCACAAAGAAGAATCCTGCCCCCAGGGGTGATGACGAGGGACGAATGAAACCAGCAGCTAGGGACTCCTTTATGTAGGTCTCCAAAGCCTCACGTTCAGGTCGGGGGATGCTGTATAACCGTCCCTTGGGATAGGCAGCTCCAGGGAACAGGTTTATGGCACAATCATATGGTCGGTGGGGAGGGAGTGACAGAGCCCTCTGCTTACTGAACACTTCCCCCAAATCATGATATGTCTCGGGAACCAGGGACAAATCTGGGGGGTTAGCCTCAATAACCTGACTGGGAACAGAATGGGAACAGGCAGTCTTGAGGCAGTTAGCATGACAATCAATGCTCCAACTAGGTACCTTGCCAGTCACCCAATTGAACGTGGGATTGTGTTCTTTCAGCCAGGGGTATCCAAGGACCAGAGGAACATGGGAAGAAGGCAGAATGAAGAATGAGAACCTCAGAATGATTCCCTGACAACAGCATCTTAACCGGTTCAGTCCTCATCGTGATACGTGCCAGACTACTGCCGTTCAGAGTGGTAGCTTCAATGGCTTCCGGTAATCGCTCCTTGGAAAGCCCCAGCTGTTCCACCACGTCGGCATCAATAAAGCTTCCATCGGCACCTGAATCGACGAAAGCGTTAATCGCTAAACTCTGATTCCTGTTCATGAGGGTAGCCAGGAAACGGGGTCTG